CCCTCCCCGACCTCCAGGCATGTACGGGCTGCCCCGGCCCTGGGTCAACCTCCCCTCCCCGACCTCCAGGCATGTACGGGCTGCCCCGGCCCTGGTACTTCCCGCTGCAGAAGTCCTACTGGCTGGGCAGTGGACGCACGGAGACGTGGGAGTGGAGCTGGCCCTGGGTGCGGGCGCCCCGCCTCAGCGTCATGGAGGAGGACCAGGCCTGCGCCATGGAGAGCAGGCGCTTTGGTGAGGCGGGGCCGACGTGGGGGCTGAGCCGGGGCGGAGGTTGGGGTCCCGGCCCTGCAGGCTAACCTGCAGCCCTGGTGCAGAGGAGATGCGTGGCATGGAGGAGGAGCCCACACACCTGCCGCTGGTGGTCTGCGTGGACAGGCTCACCAAGGTGTACAAGAATGACAAGAAGCTGGCCCTGAACAAGCTGAGCCTCAACCTCTACGAGAACCAGGTGGTCTCGTTCCTGGGCCACAATGGGGCGGGCAAGACCACCACCATGTGAGTGTCTTGCGAGAGGAGACCCTAACCCGGGGGTAGATGGCTTCCCCTCTGGTGGTGGGGTCGTGACCCTGTCCGCCCGCCCAGGTCCATCTTGACCGGCCTGTTCCCACCCACATCGGGGTCAGCCACCATCTACGGACATGACATCCGCACGGAGATGGATGCCATCCGCAAAAACTTGGGCATGTGCCCACAACACAATGTGCTGTTTGACCGCCTCACGGTGGAAGAGCACCTCTGGTTCTACTCCCGGCTGAAGAGCATGGCACAGGAGGAGGTCCACAAGGAGATGGACAAGTGGGTGGAGCTGGGGGCAGGTGGGATGGAGGATGGGTGTGGGTGTGGGGTAGGGAGCATGAGGTGGGGGGAGGATGCAGCACGTGGGGGGGGCTGCCACTGGATGCCCGATGCTGTGCTTCGCCCACCTCTCGGGTCCCTAGGATGATCGAGGACCTGGAGCTCTCCAACAAGCGGCACTCGCTGGTGCAGACGCTGTCTGGTGGGATGAAGCGCAAGCTCTCGGTGGCCATTGCCTTCGTGGGGGGTTCCCGTGCCATCATCCTGGATGAGCCCACTGCGGGTGTCGACCCCTATGCGCGCCGGGCCATCTGGGACCTCATCCTGAAATACAAGCCCGGTAAGCTGGCACAGACAGGGGTACAGGCCTGGTGAGCGGAGTGCTGGGCTGACAGGGACGGGGGTACAGGCCTGGTGAGTGGGGTGCCGGGCTGACACAGACGCGGGTACAGGCCTGGTGAGCGGGTGCCAGGCTGACACAGACAGGGGTACAGGCCTGGTGAGTGGGGTGCCGGGCTGGCACAGATGGGGGTACAGGCCTGGTGAGTGGGGTGCCAGGCTGGCATGGATGGGGGTACAGGCCTGGTGAGCGGGGTGCCAGGCTGGCACAGATGGGGGTACAGGCCTGGTGAGCGGGGTGCCAGGCTGACACAGACAGGGGTACAGGCCTGGTGAGCGGGGTGCCAGGCTGGCATGGATGGGGGTACAGGCCTGGTGAGCGGGGTGCCAGGCTGACAGGGACAGGCCCGGTGAGTGGGGTGCTGGGCTGGCACAGATGGGGGTACAGGCCTGGTGAGTGGGGTGCCAGGCTGGCACAGATGGGGGTACAGGCCTGGTGAGCGGGGTGCCAGGATGGCATGGATGGGGGTACAGGCCTGGTGAGTGGGGTGCCAGGCTGGCATGGATGGGGGTACAGGCCTGGTGAGCGGGGTGCCAGGCTGGCATGGATGGGGGTACAGGCCCGGTGAGTGGGGTGCCAGGCTGGCACGGATGGGGGTACAGGCCTGGTGAGCAGGGTGCCAAGCTGGCACGGATGGGGGTACAGGCCTGGTGAGCGGGGTGCCAGGCTGGCATGGATGGGGGTACAGGCCCGGTGAGTGGGGTGCCAGGCTGGCACAGATGGGGGTACAGGCCCGGTGAGCGGGGTGCCAAGCTGGCATGGATGGGGGTACAGGCCTGGTGAGCGGGGTGCCAGGCTGGCATGGATGGGGGTACAGGCCTGGTGAGCAGGGTGCCAGTCTGGCACAGATGGGGGTACAGGCCTGGTGAGCGGGGTGCCAGGCTGGCATGGATGGGGGTACAGGCCTGGTGAGTGGGGTGCCATGCTGGCACGGATGGGGGTACAGGCCTGGTGAGCGGGGTGCCAGGCTGGTACAGATGGGGGTACAGGCCTGGTGAGCGGGGTGCTGGGCTGGCATGGATGGGGGTACAGGCCTGGTGAGCAGGGTGCCGGGCTGACACGGATGGGGGTACAGGCCCAGTGAGCGGGGTGCCAGGCTGGCATGGATGGGGGTACAGGCCTGGTGAGCGGGGTGCCGGGCTGGCATGGATGGGGGTACAGGCCTGGTGAGCGGGGTGCCGGGCTGGCATGGATGGGGGTACAGGCCCGGTGACCGGGGTGCCGGGCTGGCACAGACAGGGTGTTTGGCCTGCCCACCGCTACACCCCTTACCCAGGATGTGACCCGCTCCAGGCCGCACCATCCTCCTGTCCACGCACCACATGGATGAGGCCGAGCTGCTGGGGGACCGCATCGCCATCGTCTCCCACGGCAAGCTCAGGTGCTGCGGCTCCCCGCTCTTCCTCAAGGGCGCCTATGGCGACGGTTACCGCCTCACTCTGGTCAAGCGTCCCGCTGAGCCTGGCGCTCCCCAAGGTCTGTGCTGAGGTCCGCCTTCCCTGGGACCCTTGTTCCATCACGCCCTGGATACTGGGGAGGTCTGGACCCCGTCTCCCAGCTCCCTCTTGACCTGGCCGGGGTCTCATCCGGAATATTTTCTTTAGCTCCTAGTGAGTCCCCCCGTCCCGTTCTGTCCCCAGAGCCAGGGCTGGCCTCCAGCCCCCCAGGCCGGGCCCAGCTGAGCAGCTGCTCTGAGCCCCAGGTGTCCCAGTTCATCCGCAAGCACGTGGCCTCCTGCCTGTTGGTCTCAGACACCAGCACCGAGCTCTCCTACATCCTGCCCAGTGAAGCCGCCAAGAAGGGGGCCTTCGAGCGTCTCTTCCAGGTGTGAGGGCTGAGCGGGGCTGGGGCCGGGCAGCGGCGGGGGAGGGGGGCCGTCCACCCGCTCAGGACTCAGTCCGGCCCCTCTCAGCACTTAGAGCACAGCCTGGACGCGCTACACCTGAGCAGCTTCGGGCTGATGGACACGACGCTGGAGGAGGTGTTCCTCAAAGTGTCTGAGGAGGACCAGTCCCTGGAGAACAGTGAGGCGGGTGAGAGTTGGGGGCCACCGGGGCCTGCGCTGAGCCGGGCCTCACACGGCCATCCCGGATGGGAGAGAGGGACCGGGCCTCCTCACAGCCAGCACAGGGGCCCGGGTGACAGGGAATGGCGGCCACAGGTCAGGTCAGGGGGGCTAGGGTCCTGGGTAGACAGCAAGAACCGGGGTGCTGGGCAAGTGGGGGTGGGAGCAGGTGGCTCTGAGCCCTTCCGACTCCCTTCCTCTCTCCCTGGCCCCTCTTCTGTGGCAGACGTGAAGGAGTCCAGGAAGGATGTGCTGCCTGGGGCCGAGGGCCCAGTGTGCGGGGAAGATCAAGCTGGCAACCTGGCCCGGTGCTCAGAGCTGGCCCAGTCACAGGCGTCGCTGCAGTCAGCCTCCTCCGTGGGCTCTGCCCGCGGTGACGAGGGAGCTGGCTACGCCGACGTCTACGGCGATTACCGCCCCCTTTTTGATAACCTGCAGGACCCGGATAATGTCAGCTTGCAAGGTGGGGGAGGTCATGGCAGCTGGGGAGGGCAGTGTGGGGCAGCGGCTCCGCCCCTGCAGAGGGCAAGCGGGGCAGCTGCTGCGCCTCCGTCTCCCTGCAGAGGCCGAGGCGGAGGTCCTCACACGGGTGGGCCAGGGCAGCCACAAGCTGGAGGGCTGGTGGCTGAAGGTGCGGCAGTTCCATGGGCTCCTGGTGAAGCGCTTCCACTGTGCGCGCCGCAACTCCAAAGCGCTGTGCTCGCAGATCCTGCTGCCTGCCTTCTTCGTCTGCGTGGCCATGACCGTGGCGCTCTCCGTCCCTGAGATAGGTAAGGGGTGGGGCCGGCAGGATAAGGTGAGCTAGCCTCTGGTCCAAGGCAGGGTGGGCGGAGCCAACAGGGTGGGGCGGAGCCAGCCTCTGGTCCAAGGCAGGGTGGGCGGAGCCAACAGGGTGGGGCGGAGCCAGCCTCTGGTCCAAGGCAGGGTGGGCCGGGCCAGTGGGGCAGCTTGGCCCTAATGAGTCCTGGTCTGCACCCTCTGCCAGACCTCTGTCAGACCCCAGACTGTTACTGGGAGGAGGGAAGCGGGGCCCTGCTCAGGGTTCCCGTGCTCCTTCTAGGTGACCTGCCGCCACTGGTCCTGTCACCCTCCCAGTACCACAACTACACCCAGCCCCGTGGCAACTTCATCCCCTATGCCAATGAGGAGCGCCGGGAGTACCGGTGAGGCCGTGGGCAGGGGCTGCGCAGCAGCTGGGGTCGGGGAGGGAGGTGAGCCCAATAGTCCCTAACTCACCTTCATACCCCAAGACTGCGGCTGTCACCTGACGCCAGCCCCCAGCAGCTGGTGAGCACCTTCCGGCTGCCCTCGGGTGTAGGCGCTACCTGTGTGCTCAAGTCTCCCGCCAATGGCTCCCTGGGGCCAACGGTGAATCTGAGCAGTGGAGAGTCCCGCCTGCTGGCCGCCCGGTTCTTTGACGGCATGTGCCTGGAGTCCTTCACCCAGGGGCTGCCGCTGTCCAACTTCGTGCCGCCCCCACCCTCTCCTGCCCCGTCCGACTCCCCCATGTCCTCGGACGAGGACCTGCCACAGGCCTGGAACGCCTCTCTGCCACCCACCACCGGGCCAGGTATCTGCTCCTGGAGGGCTGCTGGGTCCCAGCAGAGGCTGTGAACGGCCTGTCTCTCACTGTGCTGTGTCCACAGAGACGTGGACGTCGGCACCGTCTCTGCCACGCCTGGTGCGGGAGCCTGTCCGCTGCACCTGCTCTGCCCAGGGCACGGGCTTCTCCTGCCCCAGCAGTGTGGGCGGACACCCGCCCCAGATGCGGGTGGTCACAGGTGACATCCTGATGGACATCACCGGCCACAACGTCTCCGAATACCTACTCTTCACTTCCGACCGCTTCCGGCTGCACCGGTGAGCAGTGAGTGCCGGGGTGAAGGTGGCCAGCCATCGCCTGCTGGGCCTCATGCCTCCCTCCCCCCTCTAGGTATGGGGCCCTCACCTTCGGCAATGTCCTCAAGTCCATCCCAGCCTCCTTTGGCACCCGGGCCCCACCAATGGTGCGGAAGATTGCAGTGCGAAGGGCGGCGCAGGTGAGCTGCTGTCCTGGGGCTGTACGGGCGGCACCGAGCCCTGCCCCCGTGACCCCCAGCCCGTGGGCCTCTGTGCGCTTCTGTCTTTCCACAGGTGCTCTATAATAACAAGGGCTATCACAGCATGCCCACCTACCTCAACAGCCTGAACAACGCCATCCTGCGTGCCAACCTGCCCAAGGGCAAGGGCAACCCCGCAGCCTATGGTGCGCTGGGGCCCCGTGGACCTGGTGGAAGCAGGGGGGCCCCGAGAGGGGGGCAGGGTGGAGTGGTGAGGGGGGCTGACGGTCTGAAGCTGTTCTTTGTGTGTTCAGGCATCACTGTCACCAACCACCCCATGAATAAGACAAGCGCCAGCCTCTCTCTGGATTACCTGTATGTGGGGCGGGGTGGGGCGGGGTGGGGTGAAGCGGGTGCAGAGTCCTGCTGCCCCATGGGGCTGAGCGTTCCTCCCTCCAGGCTGCAGGGCACCGACGTTGTCATAGCCATCTTCATCATCGTGGCCATGTCCTTCGTGCCGGCCAGCTTTGTGGTCTTCCTGGTCGCTGAAAAGTCTACCAAAGCCAAGCACCTACAGTTTGTCAGTGGCTGCAACCCTGTCACCTACTGGCTGGCCAACTACGTGTGGGACATGGTATGTCCCCTGCACGACCACACTCTGACCCTGGCCCCATCCGTGCCCCACCCTCAGCTGCAACCCCTGTCTTGGCAGCTTAACTACCTGGTCCCGGCTACGTGCTGTGTCATCATCCTGTTTGTTTTTGACCTTCCGGCCTACACATCACCCACCAACTTTCCAGCTGTGCTCTCCTTGTTCCTACTCTATGGGTAAGGGGTGGCGGAAGGGGCAAAGGCAGGGGTCTGGGGGCAGGCAGCTTGGGAGTGGTGGAAAAGGCAGGGGTGAGCAGGCAGGCCAGGGGGTGGGGGCAGGAGCAGGCAGGTCGGGGGCAGGGGAAGGTCAGGCAGGGGCGGGCAGGCCGGGGCTGCCCAGTGAATGCTGCCCGCCGGCCCCCAGGTGGTCCATCACGCCCATCATGTACCCAGCTTCCTTCTGGTTTGAGGTCCCCAGCTCGGCCTATGTGTTCCTCATCGTTATCAACCTCTTCATCGGCATCACGGCCACCGTGGCCACCTTCCTGCTGCAGCTTTTTGAGCACGACAAGGTGGGTGGGGGCGGGGTGGGGGGCGGGGGAATCCGCTGCCTGATGCAGCTGTGCTGAGCCTGAACCCCGCCCCCAGGACCTGAAGGCCGTCAACAGCTACCTAAAAAGCTGCTTCCTCATCTTCCCCAATTACAACCTGGGCCACGGGCTCATGGAGATGGCCTACAACGAGTACATCAACGAGTACTATGCCAAGATTGGTGAGGAACCCTGGCCAGGCATGGGGGTGCGGGGCTCCACGGGGGCCTCTGGAGCTTAGCCCCAGCCCATGCCCAGAACGGCTGATGTGGGGAGGCTGCGGGCTCTGCGGTGCGGACCCTAAGCCCGCCGCCCCGCAGGCCAGTTCGACAAGATGAAGTCTCCGTTTGAGTGGGACATCGTGACACGAGGGCTGGTGGCCATGACCGTCGAGGGCGTGGTGGGCTTTCTTCTCACGATCATGTGCCAGTACAACTTCCTGCGGCAGCCTCCGTGAGTGGGGTGCCGGGCGGGGCGGGGCCACCCTGGCGCTGCCCGCCCTCGGCAGAGAGGGCCGAGCGGGCATTGGGGTGGGCGTGCTGTCTGGACCTGCTCACCATGTCCTCTAGACGCATGCCTGTGTCCACCAAGCCTGTGGAGGACGACGTGGATGTGGCCGCCGAACGGCAGCGGGTGCTTCGTGGAGATGCAGACAATGACATGGTCAAGATTGAGAACCTGACCAAGGTGGGCCCCGAGGCTGCGGGGTGAGGGTGGGGGCGGGGGCGGCAGAGGGGGCCCAGGCAAGTGGGCAGGGCGGGTGAGGGGCAGGCTGCCCACCCCCTCCCCCCCGGCCCCACTGAGTGGGCAGGCTCCCTGGGCAGGTGTACAAGTCCCGGAAGATCGGCCGCATCCTGGCCGTCGACCGCCTGTGCCTGGGCGTGCGGCCCGGGGAGTGCTTTGGCCTCCTGGGCGTCAACGGCGCGGGCAAGACGAGCACCTTCAAGATGCTGACGGGAGACGAGAGCACCACAGGAGGCGAGGCCTTCGTCAACGGGCACAGGTGCGGGTGGGGCCCGGGAGGGGGGGCGGTGGGCCCCCCATGTGCTGACGGCCCTGTGTCCTCAGCGTGCTGAAGGAGCTGCCCCAGGTGCAGCAGAGCCTCGGCTACTGCCCGCAGTTCGACGCCCTGTTCGACGAGCTCACGGCCCGAGAGCACCTGCAGCTGTACACGCGCCTGCGGGGCATCCCCTGGAAGGACGAGGCCCGGGTGAGGGGGGAGCGGGGGGGGGGACGGGGAGCTGGGGGGGAGGAGTGGGGAGCGGGGAGCAGGAGGGGCACCACAGGCCTGCGCGTGCACGGGACGCCCTGGGTGAGCCCCGCGCTGCCCTCCGCCCGCCAGGTGGTGAAGTGGGCTCTGGAGAAGTTGGAGCTGACCAAGTACGCCGACAAGCCTGCGGGCACCTACAGCGGCGGGAACAAGCGGAAGCTGTCCACGGCCATCGCGCTCATCGGGTACCCCGCCTTCATCTTCCTGGTAAGCCTGCGTCGCCCCCGTCCAGCCTTCCTGGTGGCCACACCACGGAGAGCGGTGCTGACCAAGCCCTCCCCAGGACGAGCCCACCACTGGCATGGACCCCAAGGCCCGGCGCTTCCTGTGGAACCTCATCCTGGACCTCATCAAAACGGGTCGCTCGGTGGTGCTGACGTCGCACAGGTGGGTGTCCCCCGCCCCCGCCGCGTCCCCTGCGGCCTCTGCTGGTGCCAGCCTCTGTCTGCCCATCTAGCATGGAGGAGTGCGAGGCCCTGTGCACACGGCTGGCCATCATGGTGAATGGGCGTCTGCGCTGTCTGGGCAGCATCCAGCACCTGAAGAACAGGTGAGGCCCAGGGCCGGTGTCCTCCTGGGGGGTTGGGAGCGGGGGGGGGGGGAGGGTTCCGTGGCCGCACAGGGCTCCCGGCCATGGGTGTGTGTGGCCAGGTTCGGAGACGGCTACATGATCACGGTGCGGACCAAGTGCAGCCAGAACGTGAAGGACGTGGTGTGTTTCTTCAACCGGAACTTCCCAGAGGCTGTGCTGAAGGTAGGGGGGGCTGCCTCGGGGCATGGGGGGCCCGGCCCAGGACCCCCCTCATCCCGCATCACCCCCCTGCCTCATCCCTCCCCAGGAGCGGCACCACACCAAGGTGCAGTACCAGCTCAAGTCGGAGCATGTCTCGCTGGCTCAGGTGTTCAGCAAGATGGAGCAGGTGGTGGGCGTGCTGGGGATCGAGGACTACTCAGTTAGCCAGACCACCCTGGACAACGTGAGTGAGGGCAGCTGCTGGCGTCGGGGGGATCGCAGCCCCCCTCCTCCGCTCCCTCCTCACCCGCCCCCTCCGACCCCCTGCCGCCCCTCAGGTGTTTGTGAACTTTGCCAAGAAGCAGAGTGACAACCTGGAGCAGCAGGAGACCGAGCCTCCCTCGGCCCTGCGGTCGCCCCTGGGCCGCCTGCTGAGCCTGCTGAGGCCCCGGCCAGCCCCCACGGAGCTGCGGGCGCTGGTGACGGACGAACCCGAGGACCTGGATACAGAGGATGAGGGCCTCATCAGCTTCGAGGAGGAGCGGGTGAGCGGGCCACGCTGCCCACGGAACCAGACCGTGTAGGGCCTCATGCGGAGGGACGGTGGGAAGAACTGGCCAGGCCATGCCTGCTGTCCATGGGCTGGGGACAGAGAGGGACTTGCATGTTCTGAAGCCTCTAGTAGACAGGATGGCAGGACAAGAGACGAGATGCAGAACTTGCTGGAAGCTTGGAGAACCTGGTCAGAGGTGGGAGGAGGAAGAGGGGATCAGAGTCTATGGATGTTGGAGACATAGAAATAGAAACAGAGTGGACACTAGAGAGGCCACCAGAGAAGCCAGATACTAGGAGTGTGCTCGGAGGAGACAGAGGAGAGGAGCCTGGGGAGAGGTCTGGGTTCAAGGCCAGAGGCTGGGCTGTGGGGGCTCTGTCCAGGCCAGAAGCCAGAGGTCAGACTGCATGCACCTCAAGCCCCGTGGGAGCTGAGATGCTGTCTCTTCAAACCTGCCCTGGTTGCTGTCCACTAGGTCCAGCTCTCCTTCAACACAGACACCCTCTGCTGACAGCTGGCACTGAGTCAGGACATGCTGGGGACAGAAATCAGCGGGGGCTGAGGCCCTCCCTCCCCCCGTGCACACCTGCAGGCCCTGGAAGGAACGTGCAGGACCAAGGGGCTCTTCGCCCTCCTCCAGCCCACCGCCCTCCTTGGCCCTGCCCTGTGGTTACTGCGGCTGTCCTCCCCTACTTGTGCCAAAGGCTGGCCCGGCCCTGGGCTGCACACACCCTCACCCTGCTTTGCCTTAAAGCCTTGGGGCCTGGCCCGGCCCATGTCCTGCCCAGCTCTGCCCACCTTCCCAGGGTGATATGGGCTGCCCAGGCGCACCGCCTGACCCCTCTCCTCGGTGCCCCGAGGCTGGTCAGGGCTGGTATCCTCCACTGGCCTCTTACATCGATGGTTGATGCAAGAGGCTTGTTGTGGTCTGGAGCGGCGGGCGGCATCAGAAGAAGGGATTTCCCCAGCCTGCAGCTGGGCTGCTGGGGCCACCCCCAGAAGCCCCGGATGTGGCGGGGAGGGCTCCTGTGGCCCTGGCAGAGTAGCAGGAGTGGAGAACAGGCCCTACCGGCCAGGTGTGGGGTCCATCCCCACTCCTCCCCCTCCAGCTGTCTTTGCTCTCCCCTCCAGCTTGGCCCCTGCCCGTCACCCACCTGGGGGCTGGACCTGCACATAGCGCACAGATGTTTGTTTTCAATAAATAAGCAAAAAAGCCCGTGGAGCTGGGATGAAGATGGTCTAGTGAGCTGGGTCAGCTCTGTCATTGCCCCGGGCAGGTGTGGGAGGGGGAGCAGAAGCAGGTTATCCCTGCCTCCCCTTCCTTCCCCTCCCCTGCTCTGGGGTGGAGCCTCTGTGGGCTGATGGAAGCCCTGTCCCATTCCCTACCAAGCCGTGTACGGCGCCGACAGCACGTGGAGTGCCTAGCCCCTGCCCTGGCCCTGCTGCCGCCCGGCCCAGCCTGCCACTCCCAGACCAGGGCCCGTGCTGCACTTGTGTGTGCTGGGCTGTCTCCGTCTCCTGGAGGACCAGGGAGACGAGATAACCTCCAGGCTGGCACTACAGTCGAGACAGACATGCTTAAGGGAAGGGCCCAAGACGGAAGAGGCGGCACGCGTGGACCCCCAAGGCCCAGGGCTCTGGGCAGGGCCAGCTAAGGGGATGAGTGGTGGGGAGGGAGGAGAGGGCTGGCGTGGCCAGGTAGGTCAGGGCTTCGGATTGTGCTGGGGCTGTGGAGCTGAAGATTCCTGGCCCAAGGCTGGAGGGTCGGGTGTGTTAGGATCTGATGGAGGGACTGGCCTCCACCCTGTAGTGGCCTCCGGTTGTAGGGCCTTCATCTCGAAATAACAGGAGCTAAGAGGACCCTGCGATGCAGAAGGGAATGTGTAGCTGGGTTAATGCCCGGCTAGACCCTGCTGAGCCACGCCATGCCAACTCCTTCCCCAGAGACCTGGACAGTGTACATGGTGAGTGTCTTTAGGCTACAGACTTTGTGAAGATCCTTAAGGCATCCTCTCACCAGCTGTGTGTGTGTGTGTGTGTGTGTGTGTGTGTGTGTGTGTGTGTGTGTGCGAGCATGGGTTCGGGGCTTGAATTCTGGGCTGGGTACTGTTCCTGAGCTTTTTTACTCAAGGCTAGCGCTCGATGACTTGAGCCACAGCTCCACTGCTGGCCATTTTTGTGTGTGGCTAAGTGGAAATAAGAAGCTTATTGGGGGGCTGGGAAGATGGCTCAGTGGTAGAGCGCTTGCCTTGCATGCCTGAGGCCCTGGCTTCCATTCCTCAGCACCACATAAGCAAAAAGAAAAAAAAAAGCCAGAAGTGGTGCTGTGGCTCCAGTGGTAGAGCACTAGCCTTGAGCTGAAGAGCTGAGGGACAGCGCCCAGGCCCAGAGTTTAGGCCCCACGACAGGACCCCCCCCCAAAAAAAGCTTATAGGCTTTCCTGCCTGGGCTGGCTTTGAACTGGGATCCACAGATCTCAGCCTGAGTAGCAAGGCTACTGGCGTGAGCCACCATTTTGACTGTGGGACTAGTCCATTGCTCATACCCTGTCACTTAGGGCGGGGATGGCAGAAAAAGCTGGAAGTGGCGCTGTGGTTCAAGTGGTAGAGCATTAGCCTTGAGCTGAAGAGCTGAGGGACAGCGCCCAGGCCCAGAGTTCAGGCCCTACAACTGACACACACACACAAATATAATATATATATATATATATATATATATATATATATATATATATATATTAGTAATCATTCCTACAGTCACCTTAACTTCTTGTGAGTGTGCGGTACTGGCTTGCTTGCTTATGTCTGGCACTCTGCCACTTCAGCCATATCCCTAGCCCTTTTTTATCCTGGTTTTTCTTGAGATAGAGGCTCACATTTTTGCCCAGGCTTGAGTTTGGACTTCGGCTCACCATTGTAGGCTGGGATGACAGGTGCATATCAACACAGACAACTTCTATTGAGATGGAGTTTTAACGGGACTCACAGTGCTTGGCTCTACTCTCACTTAGACCCACACTGCCTGAGACTCAGCCAAAGGAGCCTTCTGAGGTGACCTGTGTCCTTCTGACCTGTCCTGTCTGTGTTTGAGTTTATCCCCACTTCCTCTGCCCAACGCCTGGGCCAAAGCCAAGGACCCTGTCTCACTCCTTTGGGCTGGGCACTTGGGAACAAGAGGAGTTTCTTTCTCCCAGCTCTGGAGGCTGCAGTCCAGGCCAGGGCACTGGCACCTGGTCCTGGTGAGTAGGGAGCAGTGTGGACTGGCCAGCAGATGGCGGAGCCCCACTGGGTCCCGCGGAGGGGAGCGAAGACGGCCCCCAAGGCCCTCCCCGGCCTCAGGGTGAGAGCCCCTTGGGGTGAGGCTCTTTGGAGGTGGGCCCTCTGTGCTGGGTCTGCTCACTGCTGGGATGGGTGTCACTGCTTCTAGGTGCTTTTCTTGAAGAGCTCTGCCCTGTGCAAATGCCTGTCAGTGCTGGCCCCCCTGGCTTCCCCTTTAGAACAGAGACCTCTGCCCAGGCAGTTTCTGCCACATCAGTGAGCTGCCCAGCAGTTCTTGGGTGACCCAGCCCAGTGCCCCAGACATGGTGGGAGGCAGGGCGGTAGGTTTGAGAACAAGACTGGACTGTCTGGGCCATGGGTCCAGCTCGTATGTGTGTGTGTGTGTGCCGCGTGTGCGGTGTGTGTGTGTGCTACGCGTGCACCCAAGTCCCAGAGCTTGAACTGAGGGCTTGTGCTGTCCCTGAGGTTCTTTTGCTTAAGGCTAGTATTTGACCACTGGAGCCACAACACCACTTCTGGCCTTTTCTGAGTAGTTTAACTGGAGGTCAGAGTCTCATGGACTTTCCTGCCTAGGCTGGCTTTGAACCATGATCCTCAGATCTCAGCCTCCTGAGTAGCTAGGATTACAGGCGTAAACTACTAGTGCCTGGCTCCCAGTTGTTTTTGTTTTTTGTCAGTCATAAAGTTTGCTCTGGGCCTGGGCGCTGTCCCTCAGCTCTTCAGCTCAAGACTAGTGCTCTACCACTTGAGCCACAGCACCACTTGTGGTTTTCTTTATTGGCGATGAGTTTCATGTACTTAACTGCCCAGGCTGGCTTTGACCTGGGATCCTCAGATCTCAGCCTCCTGTGTAGCTAGGATTATAGGTGTGAGCCTCTGGCACCTTTATTTATTTATTTATTTTTGACATTTTTCAGCTCTTTAAAACATTTACTAGAAACATGTCAGAAAACATACTGCATAGCTGGACAGACAGCAAAAGCAGGACCCACAGCCGCCGGAGTCCACCCTGCCTGGGCCCTGTGTCCAGGTTCATGTGGGCAGTGGCTCGGGACTGCACATAGTGACAGTTCCCAGGTCCTGTTTTCCCTCATTTGTAAGAGCTGGAGGAGGCGTGGGTGGCTGCTTGGAGGGGAGGAGTGGGGGGTGAGTGGGGGGGGCTGGGGGAGGGAGGGGCCTTAGGCTTCTTGTGGTGGTGGCCTGTTTGTCAGGGACATAGTATAAACTAGTGGGCCGGAAAAAAACAGCCAAACAACTGGCCTTCGGAGTTGGGGCAGGGAGGAGAAACTGAGGCCCCGAGGATGCCAGAGGCACACACAGCCGGTGTTTGGGAGCTCTGCCTGCGGTGAGGTGTAAGAACCCGCCTGGCAGACCTGGCACGGAAGGGTGCCCGGGCCAGCCCGGGGCCGGGGCGCCAGCCGCGCACTCAGGTTCAGGCAGAGGAGCGGGTGGGTGGGCAGGCGGGGCACCACTGCGTCAGGACCAGGCAGTACCACCCCACCCCTGCGGGGGAGGAAGACGGCCAGGCCAGGTCTGCTTGTGGCTATGGAGGGCACCAGGCCTGGGCACACAGGCAACCCCGAAGGAGCACTGAGGGCTTCTGAGGGCCGCCTCCCGGCCGAGGGCTGTCCTTGCCCCTCCTGTACTGTAGTGGTTTAAATTTAGGGTAAGAAACCCGGCCTGACCCTCTGCAAAGAACGAGATGTGAGTCCACTGTCCCGCCTGTCCCACCAAAGCCAGGCCTGTCTGCTCACCAGACCCGGGCAGCTGTGTCCGCCCTGGTCAGCAGGCCCAGGATGGACGGGCGCATCGCTTCCTGCCAGACCTGACTCCCAGCCAGGTCCTGACAAGGATAGGGAAATGGACGCGAAGGCCGAGCGGGTCATTTGCTACCGGTCTCTGCCCCTGGCTTTCTGTCCTGAGGGCCTTCTGCAAAGGGGCATTTGCTGTGGTGAGAGCAAGTCCTGGGCGGGACTGCTCATGGTGGGTGGCTCAACTTGAGCTGCCCCTCCCGCTGGCCCTGGGCCCCTGGCTTCTCCTGCCCACCCTCCTCTAGCATGTGCCCAGCACACCTGCTCTCTGGTCTCCATGCCCACCGCCAGCCCCAGGACTCAGCCCACCACGGCCAGTTATGCCTGGCTCCCCTGTGCTTGGGACATTCCCAGAGAACCAGCCCTGCACCACCCAGTAATGTAGGGCGGGCCCGGGACGGGGAGGGCGGGGCACCCCGACTTAAAAGAGCACCAAGGTCCCGCCCAGTGCCTGCACTGCGACACGGGCTCAGCTCCCACCATGGCCGAAACTACCAAGCTGCAGCTGTTTGTGAAGGTTCTGGCAGGCTGGCTGGGCAGGGGCTGGTGGGAGGGGCGGGCAGGGGGAGCAGTGCTCTCTGGTACAGGTAGAAAGGGGTCTTTCCTTTTCCTAGGTGGTGGGCTGGGCTGGGACAGCCCCCAGAGGCTGCGTAGAGCAGGCACCCTGGAGGAGGAGGCACCCCAATGGGGCGGCCCTGGCTTGCTAGCCCAGGCTTCCTGGATGAATGTCCCTGGATAGGGAGGCAGCGAGGAGCGGGCCTCCAGAGACTCATCCCCAGGCCGGGAAAGGAGGGCTGGCCGACAGTTCCCTGGCTCTCAGGCCAACGCCGGCCTGGCTGGGAACTCAAGCCTTCGCCTCCTACCCACACTTGGAGCTGAGGAACGGGTGTGCTGCCAGACACGACCCTTGCCACCAACCCAGGGACCCGGAGCCTTCTGGAGGTCTGGCTTCTGCCCAGGGTTCTAGGGCCAAGGCCTCAGGCCCAGGCCTACCTGCCTCAGGGCTCCCTGTGCCCTGCCCACGGCCCAGGGAGCCAGCCAAGGCCCTCTGGAGCTTGGAGAGGCTGTGCCCCATTACGCCGGCCCTGGCATGGCTCCAGACCCACCGGCAGTGGGAGGCAGGACCCACCCAGCCGGGCGGCAGGATTCCTGGGTCTGCTCCCAGTCCAACCCCGGCTCCACCCACCCAGGCCAGCGAGGATGGCGAGAGTGTGGGGCACTGCCCCTCCTGCCAGCGGCTTTTCATGGTCCTGCTCCTGAAGGGAGTGCCCTTCACCCTCACCACGGTGGACACTCACAGGTGAGACCCCGCCCCTGCGCTCCCCCACCCTCTGCCCACGGCTGGCAGCCGCCTCCCTCCTGCTTGGTGCTCACAGGGCGCTGGACGTGCTGAAGGACTTCGCACCGGGCTCACAGCTGCCCATCCTCCTCTACGACGGCGAGGCTAAGACCGACACTCTGCAGATCGAGGAGTTCCTGGAGGAGACGCTGGGGCCTCCGGAGTGAGGGCCGGAGGGCGTGGGAGGGCCAAGAGGAGGCCCAGGAAGGGTGGCTGGACCCACACAGGACCCGACCCCAGCGCTGACACCACCCACCTCCGCAGCTTCCCCCACCTGGCGCCCCGCTACCGCGAGTCCTGCACTGCTGGCAGCGATGTCTTCCACAAGTTCTCTGCGTTCATCAAGAACCCGGTGCCCGCACAGGACAATGGTGAGGCCTGGCGGGGGTGGGCGGCGGGGCGCATCCCGAGCAGGGTCCTCACGGTTCTCCTGCCCCAGCTCTGTACCAGCAGCTGCTGCGCGCCCTCACCCGGCTGGACAGTTACCTGCGCGCCCCGCTGGAGCACGAGCTGGCTCGGGAGCCGCAGCTGCGCGAGTCCCGGCGCCGCTTCCTGGACGGGGACCAGCTTACGCTGGCTGACTGCGGCCTGCTGCCCAAGCTGCACATTGTGGACGTGAGCCGGGCTCAGGTGCGAGGGGGTGGGGTGGGGGGCGCGCTCCCGAGGCCCTGACGCAGCCTGCGTTGCCCACCCGCCGCAGACCGTGTGCACACACTTCCGCCAGGCGCCCATCCCCGCGGAGCTGTGTGGCCTGCGCCGCTACCTGGACAGTGCGCTGCAGGAGAGGGAGTTCAAGTACACATGCCCACACAGTGAGGAGATCCTGGCAGCTTACCGGCCTGCAGTGCGTGCCCGCTAGTGCCCCACCGCACCCGCAACCCTTGCCCGCTCATGTGCTTGTGTGCAGCCCGATAAAAGCATCTTGGTCCCCAGTGAATGTGTCCTGAACGCCGGAGTGGCCGGAGGTGGCAGTCACACCACCCTTGCCCCATGGTGCAAACCTGGCGGATGACAGTGCAGGATGACGTGGGTGGAGCGGAGTGGGCAGGGCACCCACCCCCTCGGGGGCTGGCACTTGGGCCCAGGGCCTCCTGCAGTCAGCCAGCACAGGGGTGCCATGGACCTGGGGGACTGGATTAGGCTCCCAAACCAGTCAAGCCAGGGCGGGGTGCCCTGTGTGGCCAGAGGGTGGGGAGCAAAGCGCCCCAAGTCCAACCTCCGGGTTCCGGGCATTCCTCAGCCCCACCCCAGCCAGTGGCCAGCCCCATCACCAGTAGGAGCTTTCCACAGCCTGGCGCACCTTCCCATCATGCATCTGCCCAGGACTGAGAAGTGGATACTTGAGTGGCCCTGCCTGGCCTGAACAGGACCTGGAGGGGAAGTGCAGACTTCCAAGCCCTTGGGGAGCCCTGGCCCCACCTGGCCATGCAGGGGCAGTTGGACAGGGTTAAGAGGTCCAGCCTGGAAGAGCCTCCTCCAGGGGGCTGAGGACCTGCTGCACCTGTTGACAGACTGGCTCCATGCCCAGAGCTTGTCAAAAGGGGCCTCTGGGCCCCTCCCCTAGGCCAACTCCCCCAAATCAGTCTAGCTAGTGTCTCCATCCCAGGTCAACTCCCCCAAATCAGAGTCTAGCTAGCGTCTCCATCCCAGGCCAACTCCCCCAAATCAGAGTCTAGCTAGCGTCTCCATCCCAGGCCAACTCCCCCAAATCAGAGTCTAGCTAGCGTCTCCATTCCAGGCCAACTCCCCCAAATCAGAGTCTAGCTAGCGTCTCCATTCCGGTAGCTGTTTATTTGACAGGAAGGAGACCGGTGGGGCAGCTGCAGTCCTGCCCGGAAGCAGGACTGGCCAGTGGGAGTAGTCTCTGGTGCTGATGGCTTTCCCCGCCCCCCTCACAGGCAGACTCCTAGCAAGGCCACACCTTCAGAGTTCGTCAAAGTTGACTCCACCAGCTGGTTTCTTCCTGGGAGGGTAGAGGGAGCAGTGTGTGTGTGGGGGGGTGGGGGTGGAGGAGAGGACCGGGACCCAGGCTGGCAGGGACAGGTGGGAAATACCTCTTGAAGCCAGGGTTGATGAGGGACTCCCCTGGACACCGTCTCCTGACCCCAGGTCCGGAGCCACCTCTCTGTGGATCAGAATCTGGGAGAAAACAGGTGGGGTCTTGATGCTCTCCCTGGAGCCTGAGCTTCTGGGAGACAGCTGCAGAGGAAGGAGGGCGGACTGTACCTGGGGGGAAGAACTGAGGTCCTGCGGCTCGAGGGCTCTTCCTCGGGTTGGCAGCTGTCTCTTCTACAGCTAGGGAGAAAGCCGGTGGGCACCCTGCTCAGTGCCAGGAGAAAGCAGGGCACAAACAGGGACCCTAGTAAGGTACAGGTGAGGAAGAAGCCCACTCTACCTGCGAGCTGCCTTTCCAGACTGCACACGCGTTCTGCCAGGCCCAGAGTCAGCGTCTGCAACCTGGCGGCTGCCTCAGGCCCTGGAACCTTGGCAAGGTCAAAGGCCAGTGTGGAGGGCCCTCCCGAAATGGTCAGGGACGCCCTGCCGTCCCGCAGGCTTACGGTCACCCCGTGCTGCTGGCAGGCTGTCCTGGAGGAGGAGAGGCGGCCAGTCGGTGCCTGGCCCCCTCTCCACACCCACCCCTCCTCCAGCTCGGGGCTCACCTGAACCGGGAGGTGATGTCCTCGGTCCCACTCAGGCCAAAGCGGGCTTTCTGAAGGGCAGAGACTCGTCACTGGACGCCGGGGACGCCCAGACCTGCCCGACCCGCAGCCCTCGGGGGTTCCAGCCCAGCCTTAGGATCACAACTTCCAGTGAGGGCAAGGGGTGCTGGCCCGTCCGAGAGCCTCGGTCCCCTCCTGACGGTGGCCCCGCGGGTATGGGAAGCCATTACACACAAGGGTGGGCAGGCTGTCTGGGGAGAAGCAGGTGCTCCAGAGCTCGGTGGCGTCCGTCACGCTGCGGGGAAGGAGGG